AACCGTGAATTTTGCTTATAGTTTGCGGAAATTCGACATAGATGGCGTTGACAGTGACTTTTAAATATTGGGTTGGGAAAAAAGTCTTTTTACAAGTTATGGTAAAAAGACTTTTTTTTTAACAATCCATTTATTCTATTAAAAAAAAATTGGCAACTACACCACTTGATAGAGCAATGTTTCAGGCTTGAGCCGATTTATAGTTCCAGTTATAGTATCCAGTTCCAATGTAAGATTAACTTTAATCTTAGTTTAATTTATTTTTTATTTTTTTCAAATTTTCAGGAAGAAAAAGATAAACAACAAGCTAAACTGAGATTAAAGTTAATTTACATTGGTGGAAACGGGCGTTAGTTAGCTTCGACTTAGCTGGATCGTCGAAATGGAAACATTTTAATTGTTTGAAAAAGAAACTGTACGTTGAAATCATACAGAATTACAAAATATTAATACGTCTTTGGCAAATCTTGATAATGTCATTTTAGCACTTAAAACAAACAGAAAGATTATTACTATTAGTTATTAAATTAATCGTCGATCATGCAATTAAGATAATCGCCGGACTTCAATTGAAGTCACTCTTAAATTAAGGCATGAAAAACACACGAGTCAAGTTCTTATTATATTTATGCATTGCGATATCGATATTATAATAGATTTCCTTATTTTTGCAAGTCTCTGTCATATATACAAGCAAGAATGCAGTATATCTAATTAAAAATCGCAGCAAAACTTTAATAAAATATTTTAACTCTATTTTGTCTTACAAAATCTATGTCATATATCTCGCGCAACATAAATTTTAATTAACACTAATTACGTCAATATATTATGCTACTGCTTTTCTTTTAGGAGACACAAATATATCGTTCTGTCTTTGTTATTCATTGAATGTCAAGAAGGATAGAATTTTGTGTTGATCGTGTCTCCTAAAAGAAAAGCAGTCTATAATTTCTTATTTAATAATATTAGATAATAAAATATTTGTACATAACAGTTATTTTGTTGAATAGGAAAATAACATTGTACGTAATATATTAATTTATATTTTGCAGAGCGTATTCTGATCTTCTCGCCGATAGATTCACCGTTCACCGTTTCGGCCTTGCAGAAGGATCTGCCATTCAACGGATGCACTAAGTAAAACGGATACAGTAAGGACGCAGCAGCTACTATTCTAGGACGGAAATACACATATATACGTTTACATTTAATATATAGCTACAAAGTTCGTCGCTCTCCACGATGTATTTGCGATGTTCTCTAAAACAGTCTCCACGTAGAAGACTAAATCGTCCCGGACAATCTCAGACTCGCGGGTCCTTTTGGTTTGTTTTCGCGTCTCCACGTCTCGCGAAAACACAAGCCGGGAGGAAAAGCAAGAATGAATTAATCTTCAGCAATATCGAAGCGAGGATACGTATAATAGACATGTGTACTTCTTGCAGGTTCGAAAACCATATTATTAAAATCGGGCAAAAAAGGGGGGAAAGGATTGAACTTTATAATGTTTGCTCCAGCGCGCGATTGGGTCGGCTGCGAGAGTCAGTTACGCAATCTCATGACCCTACATAGTCGGATAAGCGTGACGAGCGTCATAGACATAGGCGGCGGCATGTTTCTGGGACGGGCGTAAGTCGGGTACGCACTGAAGCTATAAGAGACCGGTCGTTCCCAGTAGGCGCTCAGTTAGATCAAGATCGTTCGAGGGAGTCCCATCGCCAACTCCATTCAAACGGCAGTCGAGATTCAACGCATCAGCGAGTCATCGGCAAGCAGATTTTCGCGCGAGTTTTCGTTTTATCGTTCTTCAACATGGTAAGAAAATCAATCTTTCTTCTCAATGATTGTAAAACGTCTGTTTTCTCCCTTTAAAACTCGTTCTCGTCGATTGCAACTATCCGCCGTTGTGGGCGAGTACGACGATTAATTACTACAAGTTGCGTTCGGTGGAAAAAGTAACTTTGCAATTATTGTGAAATTTTATAATATGATTGCTCTTTTATATATACCTTTAGTTCTTTACTGGATCTAAATGTAAAAAAAATCGTATTAAGGAGGTTGTATATATTAATATTTACTCTTTAAACGAACTATATATACAAGTGAAAATTGTGTTCATTCTGTTTTTATTGCGAGCAACACATTTGTATAGATTACTTATTTTCTTTGATGTCAGTTTTATTATTATAAACAAAAATTTTAATAATAATAACAAAAATCTAATTTTTTTAATATAAATATTTTAAGTACTAAAAATGACTTATGCAAAGTTTCATTGAGATTCACTAATTAGTTTATAACAAATAAATATTTTGTTTATTTATTGAACAAATTAATGTCTGCATCTCAACGTAACTTTACATAAATATTTTTGAATTTATAAAATA